CATATTAATAAAAACCACCCTAATAATGATTAATGAATCCGGGACCCTAAAAATCCCTCATGAGCATTTAAAAAGGGGCTGTACTAATTTTACAAGGAGCCAGACCATAATGAATTAGGGGGGTTTTGGAGTCATTAGGGTGGTATAATAGAAAATCCAAAGGAATTAGGGGATACCCTTGACATCCGAGGTTCTGGTTGATTTTCATATTGGTCTTATAAAGGACTTTATATAGAACTGAATGCGATTCTAATTGATTTTATTACAGTTTTAGCCATACTTCATTAAATCTCAATTCAATTTCATTCGATGACAAATGATTTTCAATGGATTTTGAGCGATTTCATTTGATTTTAAAAGGAATGATAATTAAGTTTATATTGATCCCCTGCGGGAATCTAATTCGGTTTCAATTGATTCTAAAAGGAATTTTAATTCAATTTCTATTGATTCTAACGGGATTTTTACTTCGATTTCAATTGATTTCGAAAGGAATTTTAATTCGATTTCAATTGATTCCAACAGGAACCTAATTCGATGTCAATTGATTTTAACATGAACTTTAATTCGATTTCAATTGAGTTTACAAGGATGTTTAATTGGATTTCTATTGATTTTAAAAGGAATTTGAATTCGGTTTCAATTGATTTTAAAAGGATTTATTAATTCGATTTCAATTGATTTTAAAAGGATTTTAAAAGGATTCTAATTCGATTTCAATTGATTTTACAAGGAATTTTAATTCCATTTCAATTGATTTTAAAAGGAATGTTTAATTCGATTTCAAGTGATTTAAAAGGAATTTACAGGCGGCCCTACCAAATTCTCTCAATAAATATGCCACCCTAATAATGAATAATTGTTGAGCCCCCGGATTATTTTTAAGGGGCGGCGGGGTGGGGGGGGCGTCGTTTATTATTAGGGGGAAGCGATTACTAGTGTTCCCCTGTGAAGCTTAAGAAGCCCTGACCTGAAGAAGATGTGAGGGCTTTCTTAAAATCCGGGCACCGTTTTCGCATACCTACAGAAAGTATAACAGTATCTTGGGCTGTATAGAGGGACCAGCTTTGGAAGGTGCAGCGGTTTAGTCTACCATTAATGACACTGAGGAGGAGACAAGGATTCCCGAAGGGCGGAGGCTTTACTTCCTTGGATTACCATTTGTTACAAAGAGGCACCCAGTTGGAGGCTTGAAACTACAGTGGTCTTCTCTAATTCTAGGCTTCAATTCTGACATTCTGCATACTGGAAGGAGCTGCGCACCAGATGTTTCTTGATCTGGCTGGCTCACTCCAAATTTACGGCCTCAAGTTCTAGTCCTTGACATAGGGACCTTCAACGACTCTCCACATTTTTACGCTGGGATCCAATGCCTATCCGCTGGAGTGTGACAACTGGGAACCTAAATCAGTTTTCCATGCGATTTCCACTTGATGTTTCATTTGATTCTCCATTATAGCGTATATATATATATATCCCCATTGGGCCCATATGTATACATATATATATATACACCCAATACAACACGAGGTTCCTGAAAATGCGGGATTTGATCGGAGCCTAACATTGTTAGACTTCGGACAACCTCTCGGGTTCGGCAACGCGCGGCGGCTAAAGAGGCTCCACAACCAGAGGCCGAATCTGACCCGGCTGCCTGGCATACTGAAGGAACAAACAAGTCTCATGCAGCAGATCTCGACCCCCCAGGAAAACTCCGCTGACGAAGAGATCTGGGTGCGTGGCCGCTTGGCAATTAAGACATGAGCATCGATTTCAATACTTGCCACGCGTGTGTGAACTCAAGCTAAGCCAGCGCGGCGGTAGCTGGAGCATCCGCCTCTGTAGAAAAAACGAAGGGTCTGGGAAAGGTGTAGGATGCTCGCAGTGACTCAAAAGTCCCCACTTAAAGCTTTTGGATGGACATGTACGAAGCAACGCGTCATCAGTGGAGCTGGTTATCTCCCAGGGCGAAAAAGGTCCCCAGGCCCGTCGCACTGGTGGGGCCACGCTCCAAGGAGGTGCCGCGGCCAAACAACTTGTGCATGCAGGCCATCCTTAGCCCAGATGTGATATTGGGACAACTGGCAGATAAGCTACAGGTGCCCGTCGAGCATCGAACGTGTCGCTTTCTAGTGCCCCATTATTGGACTTTGTTGACAATCAAGGGTAGCCCGTGTGCCACTGACTGGAGCGACTTGTTGGCAGTTGCATTGGAAATGGAATATGCGCCTGGCAGCACTAGCAAGGTCAGGGATTGCTTGGCGTTCCACGCACCGCAATGGAATGGCAATAAGATGGAGCGCGTGGTGTACGCCTGGAGCAAGTACAAGCGCATGCAGCAAATGACTGCATAGTGAAGCACAGCGGGCTGCATGAGAGCAGAGGCCCAAACGAGTAGTATGAGCATGAAATAAAGTGCGAAGGGCACGGCTTGTCTTGCGCATGGAGCACTGCTTGTTTGTTTTTTCAAGACTCACTCTGCGGGGGTCATCTTCTGCTTCAAGCGGCGAGCGCTAGCAATAATATTCTTGTGCAACTGCCCAGAGTCTCATCGAACCATGGCATTCGCAACTCAGCGGCAACGTAGCTTCATGTGACTTCGTTAGAGTCCATCTAGACAACTGAGGTCACCACCGAAGAGTCGCGCAGGGCCCAAGTCTATGCATCTTGGCTTGGAACCTTCTTCTCAATCGCGTGACTAATCAACTAAGGTAGGCCGCATAGTCTGGACGCACAGTGCTGACCGGGAGCAGGTGTACCTCAACGACTCTCTGAGGTACCAGTGGTTGGAGGCCAGGAAGGAGTTTTTGAAGGGTTTCGCTGCAGCAACTGCTTGGCACAGGGCTTCCATCAAGAGTGGAAGCTCTATAGCGTGGACGACATAGTCTACGATGAGGAAGAAGAATGTTGGCTATGTCAATGGAGCCGGGGCACGTCGGCTGCATCAGTCTCCATTCACAGTGAGCCCTTTAATTTAGTATTGCTTCTCGGCAAGGTACTCCACCCCATCTTGCCGATGCTCCATTACCATTGAAAGCAACCGCTTGGACGAAATGACACACGCACGCAGTCTTTGGTTTCTTACAAACATGACCAATGGCACCCAGCTTTGCATGCGTAACAAAATAGTATCGAAGCAATGAATACTCGTTCTTGTGGTTGTCTTGAATTTTGCAACTTGACGCCTTTGATATCCAAATTAATACGCCGAATACCTGACTAGCATATTGAATGAGACGGAAAACTCCGCTGACCAAGAGATCTGGGTGCGTGGCCGCTTGGCAATTAAGACATGAGCATCGATTTCAATACTTGCCATGCGCGTGTGAACTCAAGCTAAGCGCGCGGCGGTCGCTGGAGCATCCGCCTCTGTAGAAAAAATGAAGGGTCTGGGAAAGGTGTAGGACGCTCGCAGTGACTCAAAAGTCCCCACTTAAAGCTTTTGGATGGACATGTACGAAGCAACGCGTTATCAGTGGAGCTGGTACCAGGGCGAAAAAGGTCCCCAGGCCCGTCGCACTGGTGGGGCCATGCTCCAAGGAGGTGCCGCGGCCAAACAACTTGTGCGTGCAGGCGCCCACATAAAAAAGAGTTGGGGCAGCTAGCAAATTAACTACAATTGCCCGTCGAGCATCGAACGTGTCGCTTTCTAGTGCCCCATTATGGGACTTTGTTGACAAGGAGGGCCCGGTCGAGCAGAGAGCTTCCGGAGCCCGGGAGCAAAAAAGCGCGCGCTGGGCCATCCGGGGTTTGTTATTGACGTTCCAAGGTGAGAGTTTTGTTGCTTTTCAGTTTTCGCCGCAGCCGTGCTGGATCTACTTTTGGGTCTAATTTTTTTCGGAAAGATTTTTGACCCCTGCGCTCGCCCGACGTGGGCAACATGGTTGCTCTGGAGTTTTTGATCTTTCAAATGACCGGCTGCCTCGCAGTGGCAGTTCGAATCCTGGTATGCAACGAGCACTGGTTCCATGGCCTTGCCCGAAACTCCTTGAATGCCGAAACGCTGGATTTCACAGCATTGGAAGCATTGGACGTGCTGGCACATTTTGACACCTGGTGAAGAAGTTTTGTAAAGCTTACATCTCGAGCCCAGAAGAGCAGCGAGTTTAAACAAATGCACGTCATGCTCTTTTTTGCGTCTGCGTGCGTTTTTGTTCGACGCACTCAGAGACACTTTTTATGCCGGCTGTGTGTGTGTGTACGTATTGTTTCATTGCTCAATGCATAGCGAATGCCATTTGGCTGATTGTAGAACTTTCAAAAAAGTAGGAGAAGTTTGCCACAGCATCATGTCCAACTGCCCTGCAGCCTCGTCCAAAATGCACCCGGTGGAGGTGCGCCGTGCTCTGCTCTTTTTTTTTATCTTTTAGTGTGGTGTCGTGCACCGATTTGCTCAGGTGGCTTCGTTCGAACAGGCGGCGGCCTTGTGCAACATCATCCAGCAGTTGAAGCGTGCCAACAAAGAGGAGTCCGTTGCAGAGCAGGCTGCCGTGTTGCTGGACCTCCCGAAGGCCTTGGACGTGCGCCACTCTGCGCAACATCCGACTGCCGTTTTTTGTGGAACCCGCGGGGCAAGCCATGCGTCTGCAGGCTTTGGCAGGGGAAGAGGTGCCGAAGGACTTGCGCCTGTACATCTCCTGCACCCTGACCGCCTTTTCTATGTCAAGGGGGGCCAGCCGTGGTTGGAGGCTCAAGTTGGAGGCTGTCCCGTTCGGCTGCCTCTGCCACCAGTGGCGAGTGAAGCAGTTCCAGTTGTTGCGCGACGGACAAGTAGTCTTCCCACGTGCTCGCCTGACCGCAATGGTCCCTGACCAGGGCAAGGCGCTGGAGTTGCAGGTGCTCGTTGGCAAGGAGGCGCCTCCCAGCATCAGAGTCGTCGTCGGCAAAGCGCCGCCGAGGCTCGAAGACTTCAGCTTGCGCGCGGCCACATCTCCGTTGTACGAGATGTGCGAGCTGCAGACCCCTTTGCTCGGGGACACCAACCGTCTCATCTTGCGAGACGTGCTTCTGCGGAAGCCGCAAGGGGCCATCGCACCCAGGCTCTTGGACCGTTTTCGTCACATGGTACAAACGGTTCCCAAATTGGGAAAAAGATACCTGAACAAGTTCAAACAGAACCTGGAGGCGACGGACCACATCTTACACATTCTGGTCATTCTGGTCTCTTCAGACGGCCAGAGTTTAGCCCTGAGGGCCAAGCTCGCCTATGACCCAGCCTACATCATCGTGCCCCTGCTGGAAGGCGAGGCGAAGCCTCCGTGGAACAAGAAGCAGTTCGCGGACGTCTGCGCTGCCATCCACAATGCCGTGTGGTGATCTTGGAAGCACAGTGAGCGCAGCGCCGCTTTTTGAGACATGCAGCGTGCAGTGAACGAGCTTTGAAGGGCAGATAAAAAAGCGTGTTTTCAGCCCGTCGCACGTCTCGCATCATTCACATTTGCATGCAGTTTTTGTTGCTGGCTTCTCCGGAAAGAGTGCGGCTGTGGCTGAGCTGCACGACCTCGCAGTGCTGGAGCGCACGCAAGTGGATGGGCGAGTGGCAGTGCGCACAGTGACTCTGCATGCAGTGCTGCGGCGGGCCGCCCGCCCGGCAAGAGTCGCAGTCGGATTACAAGGCACCGCGCGGCTCCGGGCAATGCTCAGACCCTGGCCTGAGACGGTCATCTTCCGGGAGCTATCCGGAGGCTACTCTTTGGGCAGACGGCTCTTGGCCCAGCGCATGGCCGTGCTGCAGCTGTCGGTGCCCTTGCCTACTGTTGTGATCCTGGGGGCGCTGGCGGGCGAGTTCACCCGAGACGCTGTCCTCGCGACCTTGCGGCGGGATCGCAACAACGTCCAAGTTCTTCTTCCGGGGTTGCGAGCATGGGCCGCCGTGGGGGCGCTACTGTTACTGTCGGAGATGCCACCAGCTCTGCAGGAAGACCCTGCCGTCGTGAGGAAGGCAATCAAGCACGGCGGCCTCGACGTGGGCGCGCTACAAGCTGCGCGCGAGCCATCTGCCTCCTGAAAATCTCGGGCCAAAAGCGCCTTACTATAAAGTTTTAGAATGCCGGGAAAATGCAGCTTGCAGCCTGCCCGCGTGTCTTGAAAGATTTTCAGCACTTGGTATGACACAACATGACCAGCTGAGTTAAGGGGGGTTCCAAAGCACAACAACATTACAAAATCAACAACGAAGAAATACCTCCCCGACTAATTATACACTTGTACATGTGGCGTGTGCAAGGCTGTGTGTGCAAGGCTATTTGTGCCGGGCTATGTGTGCAGGGCTCAGGGGCCGCTCAGGGGGGGTGTAGCCCCGCTTGCAGTGCAGCAGCCCGCGGTCCCTGCACCTGCTCTTGGCGGAGGCGCCTTGTGGGGTTGAAGGGGGGTAACGTATTGCGCGCCCTCTCGTGCCGAGTTGTTTTTCTTTTGAACCGAGAGTATTTGGCATCAAGCAACACTTGTAGGCAAGCCCTAGCAGGATTGTTCACAAGCATGTTTCCTGCTGCCCACTCTAGCATGGCCACATTGCAGGCTTGGGAGAAGGCCCGACGGGGATCCTCGTGCTTCTCGCCGAATGTATGTTTTCCTTTGTATGGCAGGGGCTCAGCGGCCGGCCTCGTTGCCGAGCCATTCACTGGCTTTATGCTAGCTTTAAAGCCGAAACGCATGCGATGGCCGCGGAAGAGGTCGCTGTTGCAATAAGTCACGACTAGCAGAAAACCACATTGTTTAGTATGTCTCCATATGGTAGTTTTCCAAAATAAGGGGACTCCAACACAGACACCAAAATACTATAATCCTTACAACCCTAGACCCTGAACCCCAAATCCTGAAAAGGTACCCCGAATTTGGGGAAATCTCCATATTGTGGTTACTTTCTTCAAGTCCTTACCAGCAGCGGAGGACGACCATGATGATGCAGGAGGGCTTCCAGGGTTTAGGGTTTACACCACATCTATTGGCCATATGATTACATCCCCCCAAGCTGTCATTCCTTTTTATCCATCTTTTTTTCGGGAGGTTCTACCTGAGGATTTGTAACGTTCACAAAGAATGTATCGACACATTGCTTAAGATGCCTTTGTTACAGGCAGGGTGGTGGGGCCTAGGCCTAGCCAAGCTTTTTAAGCTTGTGACTTCAAGACCCAATTGATTCAGCAGCCCGAAATACTTATTGGTAGCCAGTTTAGTAGGGAATTCAGGAGGATTATCTCTATATAATCCTTGTGCAATATATTTCCGTTATATTTCTTGATATTCCCTACTAACCACGAGTAAGAGTAGTATACCTCCTTTGGACTCTCCCGAAAATGGCTGACCTTCTATTGGACCTGGAGTTCAGAGTCTGCTCTTAAGATTTGTTACCGAATACAGGAGCTGCTCTTCACTTTTACTTTTTAGCCGTCTATATGGGGTGAGGGGTTGCTAAAAACTGGCCTGGCTATAGGGATTGTAGAGGGGCGGTCTATATTGGCTTCGCCTTGTTTATGGAAATCCCTCAGAACCCTGATGCATAATCTCAGCGTCCATTTCATTTTTCATGCTTGTTTCCGTTTGATTCTCCATTCTGCCCTACACCCTATGTGAACCCCATGCGTTCCCGATGGAAACTACCATTTCTGTGATGTCGAAATTCGAAAGAGATGATCCCCTGGCAGGTAACATCTCCGCTGACCACGGGATGCAACGAAGGAAAAGTCCGTTCGCAAAGCTTAGTTGCGCAGGGACACGTTTGGTGCACCAACTGCTTTGGCACCCACAAGTATTGAAAGATACCCATCCCGATAACCCTAAACCATGGTCGTCGGGTCTTCGAGCCGAAGTCATGATGATGCGGCAGTTAGCCCATGAACATATCGACGTGCTGGTGCCGCTAATTCTATTGGGGTTGAGAAGGGTTTTATGCCTGACGATATGAAATCCTATGGAGGCTGAAGTTAAGACTGGACAGAAGTTATGTATTCTAATGCAGTCACTTAACGTACGGCATTTTACAGGGAATGTCGTATATGTTCAAGGACTTTGCCAATCTGCAACAGGCTAGTTCTGAAGCCTGACATGCGTTAGCACGAAGCAACACTCGTGTGTCAAGCTGAAGACCGTAAAAAGAAGCCTAGATACCTACCAAAATGATGGTCTGAGGGTCCTCGTATGATCATGGTAAAGTGACAAGGGGTAGCTAAAACAGACCGCAACATGATGTGTATATGGTTTTCTCCGATCCACTTGCCGTCCCGCATGAAGGAGGGTCCTGTTGAAGAGCGTAGCGTAGGTATTCGCTGACTGTTCGGTGGTTAGCAGGGAATAAAGGCATTGTAGGCGAGTACATAGGGACTAACCGGACTAACCCTAAACCCTACATGGAGACTAGTACGTGAACCCTGAATCGTAAAAAATACATGGAGACTAGTCTAAGGATCCCTTCCTGCAGTTCTTACTAAACTACCCTGAAGCTGAGGTCGGCAAAGTGCTACGTCCAACCTGAGCTGCGCGCAGCAGAAAGCCTTGAGGCTGAATCGACCTGGGCCTGAGAAAGGTAGCTCAATTTTTGGGCGGAGTTTTGCCATTACGTGAACTCATCACATGCGGTTGATACAAAAAAACCTGCATGACACGAAATATCATATACCTTTCGGGAACTGTGGTAGTGTGGTATATTAATGCAATGCAGATTTTTAGTATCAACGGCAGTAGTTTGCCCTTTGCCTATCCTGGCTGTTGCAATGCTTAGCGGACCTTTGGTTCGGTTGTGTTACAGTTGCATGTCTCGGTCGCCGGCCGCAGATTGCGGCAAAATCGTGCGAGGAGCACCAGTTGCAAGCTGAGCCTAACAAAGCCCTGGCTGAATTAGCGCCGCGGCATATGATTGCGGCGTTTCGTTGCTTTGGCTGGATGGACCTTTGCAAAGATCCAGAATCCTTGGGCAATCTTTCTCCGAATTCTTTCCTCAAGCCTCAACCTTGGGCGCCAGACTGAATTAAGGTTTGGGGTTTAGGGTTAAGGGTTCAGGGTTTAGGGTTTAGGGTTTCTGTCGGGTTTATAGGGTTGAGGGTTAGGCTTTCGGGAAGCCTGTGCACCGTTAATCATGGCTCCGACAAGAGCATTCCACAGAAACCCTGAATCACACTTCCCTGCCAGACCTGTATATGGTCCGAACGTATGGATAGCCCTCATTCATGTCTTCCCCCTAGTACCCAACACCTCCCGTAACAGATATCTATACATGTATGCATATGCAGGCGGGTATATGGTTGCACTGTATTGCGTTATGGCGTAGAGGAGAGGGTGGTTTCTACATTAGGCAGAGAGGACTACAAGTATCATCAACTGTTGGATTTACCTGCGGGCTTTTCCCGGTGCATGCTCAACACGAAAAAGCATTCAAGCATTTGTGACCATGAGAACCCAGACATCCAACACTTGAGTACTTGGGATTTGGGGAGTAGTAATTGTGGTACGGGTTTGGCGAAGTATATGAGTACTGAGTGCCGGGACCCTTAGGGTGATACTACCTTCTCACATGCTCACTCCGTGAGGTACCCGCAGTGCAGCTGCAATGTAATGGCCCAAGTTTACGACCAAAAGAATTGAGCACTTGCTTGAAGCCTCAATTCCATGGGAGATTTTTTTCTCTCAATAGCAACAAGTTGCTAGCCCGCGGGATTCGGCTACTAGTCCATTACAACCTCCCAGCAGTGGAGAAGAGGCATGTTTGTTTGATGCACAAGCATTGCCCAAAGACCTTACAAGCCACCTTAGTTGCGGGAGATGGCTTCATACATACTTGTATAACGCTATGAGCAGAACATATGTTTCTACCTGCATGTGGTTATGACATGATGGAGAAGTTGGTGATGATGATGTTGATGCTCTGATGTCAGTGCAGGTTTTTGTTCATTTACAGCTTAGGTAATGAGTTTCGACCGCGACTCTTCCCAGAAAAGGCTTGCAAGAAGGCCTTGCCACACCTTCTTCACTGCTGGAGGAATTTTACAGACCCAGCCTGCCTTAGTAATTTAGGAGTCTTGACACTCGATCTGCTCTGGCAGTACTCCGAGAAGGTAGCTGCTCTTAGGGCTCACGAGAAGACCGGTTAGCGGAAATTGCGCCCGCAAGTGGTGCATCCATCTGAACCCGCCAAGAGGAACAAGTTGTGCCAGGTTCCTTTAGGAGGCATATCGAGATCAACCGGGGTTATCTAAGTTACCATAATGGAGGATCAAATGGAAAATCACATGGACAATGGGCTGAAAAACCTGGATGAAGTTGCGCATGGACGCTGTGGAATCTGCAAATATACTACAGTAGTTTCCATTTTCTTTTCTATTGTCCCTACATGAATAGTATTTTCTTTGGGGATACTATTGTACCCAATATAGAGTAAGATTATATCCTCCTTTTGGGGTATAGTATTTTATATAAGGAATAAAATCTT